CACCATGTTAAATTCCTATGTACGATGGGCGTGTAGGGGGGAGGGGGGGGTCAATTTTTGACCAAAATTTTGCGTACGTACTTTGTGCACGCCGCCTTGTGGATTACATGCAATCTAATCTAATACTACAGTATTTAGTTCTAATAATCATATTACAGTTCATCATATCCAATGTTAACTCGAATGATAATTTATAAATTATCCAAAAGAACCTGAGCACCCAATAATCCAAATAGATGAACATATAATTCATAGTAAACAAATACAATTTGCATTATTTTGAATTATGGTATAAATTGAAGTGAAATTACTCTCGTTTGGCAAAGAGAGTCATATTTATTCTATTTAAAGAGTTATAAGCAAGTTAATATAAAATGGAAATATTACTAAACTCGTGGATCTTTTATACAATATTATCTACGATTCCATTAATATATTGGTGGGTATTGTTAAAAAATGTGTTGATTAAACATAAATTAAAATATTGTTCATTTCATAGGTATTTAACCCGAAATCATAACTATTGGAACAAATTAGGAGTGAAAGGCCCAAAACCCATCATAGGTTTTGGTACCGTTTTATACCAATTCTTTCGCGAGAAATCATATATAGAGTTGGATTGGATTCACAAATATGGCAAAATTTACGGGTACAATTTTATAACATAATTAATGAATAAATTTGATAAAGTTGTATATTGAAAACTTTGATAATTGAATAGTACTTTCGAGGGAAATGAACCAATCCTAACAGTGGGTGAACCGGAACTCATCAAAAATATTTTAGTGAAGGACTTTCACGTGTTTAACTACCGGTCAACAAATACAATCTTGGAGTCGAAGGCACACCCGATTTTGGTGAACAATCTGTTGGCCACTAATGGGAACCAATGGAAACGTATCCGATCTATAGTCAGCCCCACCTTCTCGTCCGGCAGAATGAAGAAAATGTTTCCAATGATTAAGCAGTGTTTGAATGAGTTGTTGAATACGTTGGAAATGTATGCCAACGATAAGAAGGAGGTGGACATGAAATTAATGTATGAAAACCTAACAATGGATGTCATATCTACCTGTGCTTTCGCCACCAAAACTAACTCATATAAAGACCCCAACAGTCCGTTCATTAAGAATGCTCACAAATCGTTGAATCCAAAGTCATATAGACTTGTGTTGTCTATAATGTTACCTAAATTTGTGATGAAATTCATAAATATGAAGCACACGATTGAAGAGACTTGCTGTGAATTCTTCTTTAAACTGACCCGTCTTATCATCAATGATAGGAAAAATAGTAATGAGAAATACAATGATTTCATTGATTTATTATTAAACGCAGAAAAAGATAAAGCAAATGAAGTAAGCGATGAGTTTGATAGCAATGAATCACATCATGTGAATGAAGGTATGCATCGGTTATTAAAATGATTTTTCAAATCTTTATGAATACAGAAAATATACCGAAATCTTATGTTTAAAGGCAAAGAAGAATTAGAGATCCAGAAGAAAGTGATGTCAGGAGTGGAGCACTACATCACT